AGGGCGGAGATACTCATGCAACTTTCCAATTTCCCCGTTTGCCAAGGGAAAATGCAGTTGGAGAAGGAAAAATATCGGGACTGGCAGGATTATCCTAGAGATCACTCCTCATGGATTATTCACTTCCCTGAACTTCACAGTCATCTGGAGGATGATTAATAGATTCTGACGGTGGAGAGATGACGATTGGAATGGGAAAATTCCATTCCGCTCGATTTATAATCATCTTTCGTAATGAATTGAGGATTACCGCTCTTCCAGTCATTCCTGTGAGGGGCAGATAGTTCAATGTAGAGGGATAAAATGAACTTTTGCAAGACATTCCGGAGGATTTGTATCCACTCGTTCGTAATCCTCTTACATGGGGGATTGAATCTCTTACGATGATTCTACTTTGATTACTTCTGATGAAATAGAAAATTGAATTATGATTCAGCACACTGAGAGACAAAATCACATCTGTCCGAGATGTATGTGTTCCACGTGAGAGATCTTTTGATGTGTTGAATCAATTTAGTTGTAGACAATAGAGCAAGTTTCCATCAGAACTCGATAACTTCCGTGGAAATCATTTTTTTGGTGAGAAATTGATACCTCTTTCGGGTGAATGCATTAGTTCTACAGAAAATTATGTGAGGGTTTGACGGTGTCAAGTGAAGGTTATCGAGTGGAGTATATATTTCGCCAGTAAACAATTCCAATTTTCACGAAATGAATGAAAATTCCAAGATAAAAGCCCAATTGTTGGGCGGAAATAATTTTTCCTCCCGATGCATTATTCATTCCGTCATTCATGCGCATAATGTTAATCCCAGTTGCCCTCCATTTGTTGCATTTATATTACTATAAATCCACCAGCATATTCTTCGAGAATAAAAGACTCTCAAACGTCCGTCCCATCATTATTTAACCTCCGTTATCGTCCATTCTTGGGCATCCAGTTGAGGATAATCTCCCCGACATCCTATGTCTCTGGACCGGAGGAGTTCAAGACAGTTTTCTCAGTTTTCAAGAATAATTTCAAATGAAAATCCGGTGGAGTTAGTGCGCCCAAGCTTTCATAGTCAAATGAAAAATTGTCCCGACCGCAGATCTAGTGTAATTTAATTAAACTTTTTACATTTACTGATTATTTTACTAACTAATACTAATAATAATTTATTAACTAATGCTAATAATTCCATATAATGAACTTATCTCGCACTATTTACTCAGCAACCACATTAATAGGATGACTTTTGAAAAGATTATTGTTGTCTGGGAATTTTCAATAAAAAGAATACACAAAACATTTTTCGTGTTTTTCATTTTTCCAAAATTGTAAAAGCAAATTTAATTGATTGGGAAAAACTAATTGTTTGTTCTTCAATATTTCTAAAATGAATGAATCGCAAACAATTCTGAATAATTACGTAATTCTGATTAATTTCCATAAAAAATTCAGCTTTGACAAAATTTTATTGAAACATTCAATAAACTTTAACATGATGACCCTTGAAAAGATATTCTTTGTCTGGGAATTTTCAATAAAAAGAATACACAAAACATTTTTCATGGTCATTTTTTCGAAATTGTAAAAGAAAATTTAATTGATTGGGAAAAACTAATTGTTTGTTTTTCAGTATTTCTAGAATGGATGAATTGCAGAAAATGTTGAATAATGACGTAATTCTGGTCAATTTCAATAAAAAATTCAGCTTTGACAAAACTTTATTGAAACATTCAATTAGTATATTGTGTCATTAGGACCGTAGACGGAGGTTTGCGATGAGTGCTGCTAACTCACACGAATCGCAAACCGACGTGACGGTCCGATGACACATACTATTTTTTGTCATGAAGGCCCGTTGAAGGTGAGGGGGCGCAGAAGCGGGGTCCAGGGGCCGCAGGCCCCGGTGGGGGGGGTTGGGGGGGCGAAGCCCCCCCCACTGTAGAAAAACGAAATGACAAGTGAAGAGAAAATATTGAAGAAAAAGAGATGCAAAATCCTAAATTGAGATTCGAAAGAACGAATGCAAAAGTTGTAATTCACGGAGTCTGTCAAAAACATTCAAAAAACATCTAGATGAGAATGGAAATCTTCCTCCTCCTGAAATGGAAATTGCAACAAATTGAAAGAATAAAAAGAAGGATTAATCATTTTTCTAAATTTATTCTCATGAGAAAATCAACGTGTGAACATCTACAGTTTACAACTTTTCTTTTTCATCGTTCCTCTTCTTCTCACAACATACTCAAATTTTTCATCACATTTTAATAGAAATATATATATAATCTATTCAAAATAGATATATAACGAGAAAGTGAATATAATCTCTTTATTAAACTAATATTTTGTCAATATAACCCTCAAGTTACGACTGACTCCCTAGCAACGGAATAACAACTCCTGATGTCATCGGCAATGACGGTGGCGCATCGTATTAGTGGTGAACGATCCGCCGAGTTTTCAAGCAAGTGACAGCGATAACCGCACACTTCATGTTGTATTCCTACGAAGGTTTTGTGGGTTGCCCATCTAGAAACTGTATGTTTTTATTGTCCTAGGGCTGCTAACTCGAGTTAACCATACCTGTGCTTCGTTTAACGGACCTGGTCTGTTAAACGCCATTTAGCTTCCCTCAAGACAGCTATAGTAGGCGCTACCTAACGGGCCTGAATGACGAAAAAACTTTAACATGATGACCCTTGAAAAGATATTTTTTGTCTGAAAATCTTCAATACCGTTGGAGTTGGTGCGCGCAGGCTTTCATAATCACATGAAAAATTATCCTGACCGGAGATCTAGTGTAATTTAATTAAACTTTTTACCTTTTTTATTGATCATTTTACTAACTAATACTAATAATAAATTACTAACTAATGCTAATATTCCCCTATAATGAACCTATCTCGCACTATTCACTCAGCAAACACCCATAACCACATCTAACATGATCCAGTCAACAAGCATCCCCCATGCAAATAGCCTGATTATTGTTGGTATTTCGTAATGCCCGCCGGCATCACCCGCAGGAGGACTCAGCATTAGTCATTAAAACCTTCATTAAAATACTCGACTCAAAAACGGTCCGACGCCTCCGCGAAACTTTTCAATTAAATTCCGCACCAAGAATCTTTTATACTTTTCCGCCAACTTTTTTTTATTCGTCCTCCCACTTCCATTGATAATCTCACTCCACCGCGGCTCTGGGGCGCTGGCAATTTCCTCAACAGCTCCACTGGTCCCCAATGTTTTTTTATTGGCGAAGGTCAGAATCAGGAGTCAATCTCCAAGGAACGGAAATTACGGGAAAAGGCGGTCGCTTATCGAGAGAGGAAGTCTTCCTGCGATTTCAATTTCATAAAGACGAAAAAATTGAAAGTTCTGAATGGCAAAATTTTCATTTATTCTCGGGATATTATCACGGTTTACTGGAGAAATATATACTGCACTCAATAATGTTCATTTCGCGGAGTAAAAGCATCATAATCTTGTGTAGAACTGTGTAGAATAATCTTGTGTAGAATAATGTTTTCATTCAAAGGGCGTAGGAATTTCTCGCCAAGAAAATTTCCACGGAAGTTTTCGTAACTTTCAGGTCTAGGACACGGGACGACAAGAATGATTGATAACGACGTTTAAATTATGATGGGACGGACATTCGAGGGTATTTTTTCTCAAAGAATATGCTGGTGAATTTATAATAGTATAAATGCAACAAATGGTGGGCAATTGGGATTTACATTATGCCCATGCATGACGGAATGAATAATGCACCGGGAGGAAAAATTATTTCCGCCCAACAATTGGAATTTTATCTTGGGTTTTTCATTCATTTCGTGAAAATTGGAATTGTTTACTGGCGAAATATATACTCCACTCGATAACATTCACTTGACACAGTCAAACCCTCACATAATTTTCTGTAGAACTAATGTATTCACCCGAAAGAGGTATCAATTTCTCACCGAAAAAAAAAATTTCCACGGAAGTTATCGAGTTCTGATGGAAACTTGCTCAATTGTCTACAACTAAATTGATTCAACACATCAAAAGATCTCTCACGTGGAACATATACATCTCGGGCACAAGTGATTTTGTCTCTCAGTGTGCTGAATCATAATTCAATTTTCTATTTCATCAGAAGTAATCAAAGTAGAATCATCGTAAGAGATTCAATCCCCCATGTAAGAGGATTACGAACGAGTGGATACAAATTCTCCGGAATGTCTTGCAAAAGTTCATTTTATTCCTCTACATTGAACCATCTGGCCCTCACAGGAATGACTGGAAGTGCAGTAATCCTCAATTCATTACGGAAGATGATTATAAATCTAGCGAAATAGAATTTTCCCATTCCAATCGTCATCTCTCCACCGTCAGAATCTATGAATCATCTCAATTTTAAATTTTCTCCAACTATAAATTCTAAGATTGAACTGAATATTTACTTTCTTCAAGTCATCAAGGGGAACAAGTTTAGCAGTTGAATAGTGAAAGTGTTAGGAAAAAGATAACACGTGTAATCCCAATAACTTAAAAATTCAGATCACTCACATTTTTAAATTAATAAAATTCCGGAATTGCCCCCATTACATGGCATTTACCCGCGGCATCATCAATCGCAATTAATCATTTAATGATCGTTGAGACTCGGAAAAATTCAGGGGATGAGGTATAGAGTCGTGACGTAGACTTCCGGTCTCCGCATACAAATTTCTGAGGTAGGGGAGACAAAGACTAATGGGATTAGAAGACTTTCCGGAAGTTTGGCGATATACGAGGGATTCTTCAAGGGGTGGGGGAGAGCGCGAACGGAAACAACACAATATATCGCAGGGTAATATTTTTCCATCTCTCCAGAAAATTTGACATTGTCTTCCACTCTCTTTTGTTGCCTTCCTATATCGCAGCTTCATGAATAATGAAGTGTGATGCATTTCGCAGTCGAGATGAGAGGATCGGCTTCAGTTCAAAGGAGAAAAGAGAGGATAAATTATAAATAAGGAGTACTCACTTCGAAACTTAATAATCCGCTGTGATCTTGATCCAGGGTGTTGAAGACGTAGTGGGCGTATTGACTCGTATTCGCTGAAACAAAGGGAATAATGCGCTGATTAAGTCTTGCGGCATTGTATTTAATATTTATGTGAAGAGTATAATTAATGAGAAATTATTTGTATGGGAGAAGTGATGGAGGGGATTTGGAGCTTGTGATTTGTTCCTGCGCCGCCTCGCGGTAGCGTCTCTGTACTAGAATCTAGATAACCTCTCTAATTTACAGCTGATAAACAACCAATAGCGAATATTTTCCGAATATAGAACCTCACCCTAAGAAAAAAAATTTTTTTGCTAAATATCCATTTACTTGAGAGAAGTTTTTACTTTTTGAATGCCGTATTTTTCTAATCGAGTCACTCCCAGGTAATTCTCATTAGGTTTCATTTATGACAATTGCATTGCTCTAGAAGATGATCATGTTATGACCTTGAGTGAACTCCCTCAATAATTATCAACATCAAAAAATTAATCGAAATTCTTCCCTCTAGAAAATGAGAAATTTAGGAAAAATGAATAATCATTGGAGGAGTTAACCAAGTTCATGTGCAACATAGTCATCCTCTAGAGCAACATGATTGTCATAATTGAAATCTAATCAGGCTCGCCTGGGAATGACTCGACCGGAGAAATACGATTTTGAAGAAATTAATGTTTCTCTCAAGTAAATGAATATTTGCCAAAAATATTGTTTTTTGTGTGCAGCTCATTCGTCCACAACAGCTGAGACATTTTGTTGGAGACAGATTATTCGTGTGAATAAAATTATTCATATATTAATTTCAAAATTATTGTTACTAATTACTGAATTAGTTTTGTGGTATTAAGTGGTTTACTCGCGTGAGGAGCACAACATTTTCGTGCAGTATTTACGATAAAAATATCGAGGTAACGCATACAATTCGTGTGTGACGTGACTTCCATTAGAACCAAAAGTTCGTGTCATTTCCTCAGGAAGAATTCTTCATTCCCTACATAAAACTGACCCCATTTCACACCCGCCTCGTAGTAATATTGGGCTCTAGCCGTGATTGAGTGACAAATATCGCGTGCAATATCGTAAGATATTGAATACGACAGTTTATAAATGGAAAACTATCACGGGAAGATCGAGGAGCGATGTATCATGCATGTGACACATCTGTCAAGTACATTTCTCTTTTAAATGCTGTCACCGATTTTTCTGGAGAGTGAGAAATGGGAATTGCCCATAAGATAAATTATTTAATTGATAAAATAAACAGAAAAAAAGTTGTAGTTCTCTAAAATTATTGAATTAAGACGATTTGAATTGAGACTTGTTCAACACGCTAGCTTCCGTGGGGGCGTCACCTGGCGGTGGCGTCGCTGTACTAATTGATGCTCGTACTTGGTATTATTTGAATTAATCTACGCTGAGAGAAAAACGACAATGTTTTCAAACAGGTCTTACTTGTGCAAAGAAAATAGTTTTTTGAAAATGATCAAAAAAGGATTTTTTTGTGCCAAACATGCAGAGAGCGCATCGGAATGAAAAATTTTTGTCGCAAAAATAGATTTAGTAGTTCAAAAAAAATTGCATTCTCTGTACACGCAAGAAATTCCATTTCTAGCACTACTCCTTCATTATTCGATACTCCCATACATATTTTGCTCTCGAAAAACCTTTGTTTTATGCGAAACAAGGGCTAGTAGTTTTTCGTTTCGGTTGTCTAATAATCACAGACAAGAAATGAACCCTTAAATGAAACAATAATAATGATATGATAGCAATCTTGTAACTTAGGGATAAAATATTTGTTGATAAATTTTCCTCTATATGAGATATTTTCATTCTGAAAAGGCACAGCCTGCACACTTTTATTTTATACGAAATTTTACACGGAAATTCACGTCCTTGTCTCTTCAATATCTCTTCATTATCTTCATCAATTATGATGTGACATGAGGAGAACTTCGCGGGTTTCTTTCCTCACTGAATCGATGAATATGTGTACAATTATCCGCAGATATTCTTTCCGCGTGGGTCGAACGTCCGAATTATAACTCTCGTCATTATTTCCTGCTGAATGAAAGGCTCCCTTCCCTCTCGAGAATCATTACTCAAGGGTCGATTCTCCCTCCGGAGAATCGACGGGGCAGGAGACTAGATAAGAGACTCTCTCTCTCCCTCAACAATCGATTGATTCGTGTCAAAATTTTTATGAGCGTCGAATCACCCATATCCATCAATCTTCGTACTCCATACACCCATAAATTACGGGATGACGCTCGAGAATGATGTATGCAGCTTTCATGGATTTTTACGCTGCTGATACAAAAGAAGAAAAATTGCATCTGGTATTATTCTCCCACGGAGAGAAATATTGGAAAAAATACTAGATGAAATAGTCTAGGAACTATTCCCATCTTTAAGTCATTCTTAAAGCCCCAAATTACGGCATTAATTTTGGTTCAAATGCACGCTAAAACAGTCATTGAAGAATTGAGAATTGAAAGAAATTATTAGTTGGAATAAAATCATAGTACATCTGCACGATCATTGGACCATTTGTCTCATCGTTGAATAAGAAATACATAAAAATGTTTGAAATTTCCGGTAATGTCATGCCGACAAAGGCATACAATACTCGGAAATGGCAAATGTTTTCTCAGCAAGTTTGACTCAAATTTACATTTAAACTTCTGTTCGGCTTCCGTAGCCCATCTATCTACCCCGAGATTTCAATTTTTCATTTGATTATGAAAGCAGACTGCGCGCACCAACTCCACCGGGATTTTCATTTGAAATTATTCTTGGAAACTGAGAAAAATGTCTTGAACTCCTCCGGTCCAGGGATATAGGATGTCGGGGAGATTATCCTCAACTGGATGCCCAAGAATGGACCATAACGGAGGTTAAATAATGATGGGACGGACGTTTGAGAGTCTTTTATTCTCGAAGAATATGCTGGTGAATTTATAGTAATATAAATACAACAAATGGAGGGCAATTGGGATTTACATTATGCGCATGCAAGACGGAATGAATAATGCATCGGGAGGAAAAATTATTTCCGCCCAACAATTGGACTTTTATCTTGGGATTTTCATTCATTTCGTGAAAATTGGAATTGTTTACTGGCGAAATATATACTCCACTCGATAACCTTCACTTGACACCGTCAAACCCTCACATAATTTTCTGTAGAACTAATGCATTCACCCGAAAGAGGTATGAATTTCTCACCAAAAAAATAATTTCCACGGATGTTATCGAGTTCTGATGGAAATTTGCTCTATTGTCTACAACTAAATTGATTCAACACATCAAAAGATCTCTCACGTGGAACACATACATCTCGGGCAGAAGTGATTTTGTCTCTCAGTGTGCTGAATCATAATTCAATTTTCCATTTCATCAGAAGTAATCAAAGTAGAATCATCATAAGAGATTCAATCCCCCCGTAAGCGGATTACAAACGAGCGGATACAAAACCTCCGAAATGTCTTGCAAAAGTTCATTTTATCCCACTACATTGAACCATCTGACCCTCACAGAAATGACTCGCAGAGCAGTACTCCTCAATTCATTACAAAAGATGATTACAATTCGAGGGAAATCGAATTTTCTCATTCCAATCGTCATCTCTCCACCATCAGAATCTACAGATCATCACCAAGAAACTCCGAAGAAGAACGACCCATTCACAACCGTTGAGCTCCCTCATTAATCTTCCGAAACATTCAACAACAGACATACCCGCAATTTTCAATTTTCTTCACCTATAAATTCTGAGATTGAAGAATGAAAAAGATTCATCGCGTCTCGTTTTCAAAACCTTCATATTCATCCTAAGAACTCGCCCGATAAACTTCACAACCCTCCACACCTCATTATTGATAAGTCCCAGTGAACTCTCAAGTAGCTCCCGCAATCCTTCACTTTTATTCCCCCGCTTGACTTGAATTTCCCGGGAGACTTGGCCTGCGTTCAATACATAATAAGAAAACGCGGTGGAATAAAACCGCTGAGAGCTTCCAAAAGCCATTATCTCCCGGCATTAGCCTTGTAAAAACAAGAGTAGAGTGGGTGGTGTTCGTCGGATCGCATCGTTTGATTCGATTTCGATTGCACCGAAGCGACAAAAAAGATAATGCTGACAGAGAGGGTGTATGCACGGTTCTCTCATTGTTATTTGTACCTCGTGGCCCCGTTGCTGTCCAAACAAACGTCAGCAGTAACGTTATTGTTTTCTCACAGTCGACGGGACTCAATTGAAATTTCCGAGGGGATGTTTTATCGGCGAGTGATCGGATCAACATCATAATAACGATGAAGTTGAGGTGATGGTGACATTCAGGTTGTCATAACCTTGAGGAGTGATGGGTCACGGATGACCAGTAGTGAATTATAATATTATTTTTATGATATGAGACGGGTCGTATTGAGTGGTGGAGGGGTAGAGTGATTGTGATTAGCTACTGCGCCACCTTGCGGTGGCGTCCTTGCACTGAGGTCTTAAGCTCAATGGACAACTGTTGACCTACGGATTGTAGATATTTTGGAAAGAAACGACTGGAGAGATTCAAAACAAGAACCAAAACATTGACGAGTTTTTTAATTCAATGATGAATTTTTGATATAAAATAGACTGCAAGACTAATAAATAAAAATTTAAGCGAATTAAAATATTATTATTGGAATGATGTGAGACAGATAATTCATGAGAAACTAGCAGTTGTCAAGAAAGAAAAGATTTAGTGGTCATCGTTAGCTGTTGCGCCCCCCTGCGGTGGCGTCTCTGTACTATAATTATCATAACCTCCTTGAATTTATTCGACATTTCGAGCGAAAGAGACGGTGATACATACCTAATCATTCACATATAACCATTCATACCTAATTATTCGCATAAAATCTAGTTTAGTAGAACCCAAATGTTTAGCCCCCGCTAGATTAGCTGCACCCGTCTCTCTGGCAGGAGATGATTAAATTGGTCATTGTACTCTCCCAATGGTAAACTGAAGAGTCACCATAGTATGCTTCTGCCATGTAGAATGAGGCTGAATTTAGCTTTAATTAGGGTGGCCCGGTAAATATGCTCATCCGCGTGGTTGACTCATACCCCCAACGTCTAGCCGCTCCAGCTCATCCCAAAGCTTTGTTCTACTTTTCCATCTGACCTCACCCCGTAAATTGACAAACTGCCGGGTGCACGCACACATATTGCGGATTAATACCATCTTCTACAATCCCAATTATTTCAATTCTTTTGAAATTCTATTAGACAGTCCCATCAATTTTTCGCCCCAACTCCTTTTTCCGATAGAAAAAATAGACACTGATTTTTATACAAAAAATATCGGACATAAATTGTTGAAAAGATTTTTTATTTTGCAAAAAGAGCAAAGTTATACTTTTTTTTCAAACACCTAGTATAATTTTCGCCAAAATTCTCTCCGCATGTACCTCCACACGGAATTTCCCACACGAATGAAATGAAAACACCAGAGAATCGAGTAATCAACATTAACTGATGTACATTTTCCCTGGGCCCTCAACTCGCACTCTCCTTTTTGTCGCACTATGTGGGCACTGATTGCGCTTTTGATTACGCCACCACCGGGTGCAAGAGTGTAATAACACCGCTGATGTGAGAGCGTCACTCTAGATGGCGCGCACGGGCGTTTCTTGTTTACGGAATTGGATGACAGTTATGACTCGACTCGCCTCATTTTTTCATCCTCTAGTTATAGAATTGTGTCAGCCTAAATGAAGAATAATAAAAAAAAACGAGCAAGACTGGGTTGGGAATATTCATGGTATTCATAAATAGAGGATTATGGAAAAAAAATTATTAAGGCGGGGAGAAATTACTTATGCATTCCTGGGTTACTTTCGGTGAAGGCACACCAGGAATCTCGGGAATGGATGAAACCCGGGGCTTTTAGATTGCAGGACGGCTTGTGAAGATGTATCGACGTATTCCATTTACTCAAAAGCCCCTTTGGACACTTTTATTACGTGCTTCTACATCGTAAATATTCGCTTTTACCTCCCTTCATTTGAAGCCATGCCCCATATTGACCCTGTGCCGGCGCTGATTTCGCCTGGTGTACGATAAATTGAGGATAAAATGAGAATTTCGTTCGGGTAAAAATAACTATTTCTCTCGAATTTTCCTAGGGCCGAGTAAAAGCGGGAAAATCCTGACATTCACCAAGTCTTTTCTCATTATGAAATTCAATTTTTTCGCAACATATGAAAATATCAGTGAAAACTTTGAAATTCAAGGTCGTGTCAGTGGAAATGTCCTGACGGCTGACCAAAGTACGTTCGTACCACTGAACACGGCGCGAAAACTGCTAACACAGGTGATAATTCTCTCGCGGTGACACATCACGAGTGCGTCAGCTCTTCATCATCGCTGCGACTAATGAAACAAAAAAGCATGGCTCACCTCCTTGGGGAAAGAACTGTGAGTAAATGCATTTGAAGGTGTCCTCTCTGACAACACCCGTGGGACACTCGGCTTTGAATCCCCGGTATATTCTTTTCAACTCAGCCTCGGTAAATCTTGTCGCCCTGCAGAGACTCGCCAACGAGTCTGGTCTGTATCTAGGTGTCTGCTCCTCCTCGTATTCCGAGTCTGAAATGGAAGGGGCTTTTTTTTTTAATGTGTTGGAGGAATGGGAAGTGTATTAGACATTGAGGGTCAGAGTTTTTTTGGTAATGGTGGAGTCATTTGGTTTCGATGAAGATGATCAACTTTTTGAATGGATCTATTGATTTTCGTTGGCTTATGGATTTTTATGTTTAAGAAAAGGAAAGAAAATGATGATTCGAGGAGTTTTAAAGTTGATTCTAGTGTGGCATTGAATGTTGAATAATGACTTTTAATGTTGAACGGCGACATGCAATGTCGGATGTTAACATTGAATGTTGGGTGTCGATGTTTAATGTTGGAGGATGAAATTTAATGTTGGATACCAATATTTAATGTCGGATTTCGACCTTCAATGTCGGATGACGACATTTAATGTCGAATGTCAACATGCAATGTCGCATGATAACATTTAATCTCGAATCTCAATAATTCGAATCGTTTCAAAGTTGATTCTAGGATTTCGAACTTTGACATTGAATGTTGGATGATGACTTTCAATGTTGAAAGGCGACATTCAATGTCGGATGTCAATATGTAACGTCGGATGATGACATTTAATGTTGAATGTCAATATTAAATGCCGGATATTTTGATTTAATGTTGGATGCCAATATTTAATGTCAGAATTCAACATTCTATGTTGGATGTCAACAGGTAATCTCGGGTGTCAACATTAAATGTCGGATAATTTGATTTAATGTTGGATGCCAATATTTAATGTCAGAATTCAACATGCCATGTCGGATGACGAAATTTAATGTTGGATACCAATATTTAATGTTGGATAACAGCATGCAATGTCAGATGATGATATTAAATGTCGAATGTCGACATTCAATGTTGGATTTCAACATCCAATAGCGGACGTTAATATTGATTTTATAAATCATGACCTAAATCACCAGCTGAAAAAGGCCCTGAACAATACCCAACAGTCCATAACCAAGCTTCATTGCCTCTCTGATATCACTGGCAGCTGCGGGTAACAGCAATTGACGATTTTACTACATTCAACCGACCTAAAACGGTTATAAATTCTTTGGAAATATGACAAAGCACTGCAACGTTAGTACCTGTCATGTCGAAAATGAAAACGCATTCCGTGGAATCTACTCCGTCAATATCACTGACAAGCTCGAAACACGTCTGGCGTGTGTTATTACCCGTAAACCCAATACACGGTTATTTATTTTTATGAAGAATCATTGATCCTGGAGGTGTGTTAATCCAACTATAAAGCTTCCATATTAAATTCAGTTTCATCCCCGTCGCGTTTACTCTCCACCTGAATAGCTCGTTTTTAATCAACGGCGATACGTGCCGGGTAGAGCTTGACCATTCGTTATTTCAAAGTCATCAAACGTGACAAATAAAATGTTATTTGCATCGTTTAATCCACATAAACGCCATTTTGAATTAATGGTTGATGGTAATCTTTTGAAATTTTTTCGATTTCAGTATTATCATTGGGAAAAAATAAATAAAGTATTCGAAAAAAAATAAAACATGAATTTGAAATGAAAAATATTTGAATAAACACCAAGAATAACTAGGATACACGCCTGAATGTCTTAATTTCAGACATTAATTTTTCGAGACAAATAATGTGGTAAAAAAAATGAACAATTTTCCCCAATTGTACATCAAATAACTGTTAAAAATAACCTGAGAAATAATTTTCAGTTAATTCTCACTCCACGTTAAAGCATACAAAACGTTCAGCCATAATGCAGAAGCAAAGCTACAAAATACACACGAAAAGCGCGAAAATAGGGTGTTAATTACCTAATGCAAATTTGACGCCCGTCCACGCTTGACGTACATAGTTGATAAATCTCCTGTACAGCGGCCTTGGCGGTCGTTTTGGGGTTATTCCCTCTTCCTCGTCCTCCTCCTCGTCGGTTTCTTCGGCGCCAGGTGGTGGCCCAACGCCAGTCAATGTGCCCACTTGATTTCTCGCGCCTAGAATATTCACGACCTCCCGAAATCCGGGACCAACATTCTGATGTCCTGATGGATAGTTCGCGGGGGCAACGCCTGAATCCAGACGATATCCGATGGGCGGTGTTCCACTGCCACCCCCGCGACCTCTGTCACGTCCACGTCCACCTCGTCCCCATGATGCTGAGCTCCCTTCGAATTTCATGGATGTGAGGTTTTTTTGCGGAGAAACATCACTTTTTTTATTGTTAGTGAAGTTTTTTTTAGAATTTACGATGATTGTATCGGTAAAATTGGGGTGGAGTCCCAAAAAATGGGCCTGTTGTTCAGGAAATTGGGTCCGAAAAAATTGACCAGTTTCTCAGGAAATTGGGTCCGAAAAAATTGAGACTTGGTTCCCAAAAATGGGCCAGTTTATCAGATAATTAGGCCTGAGTCCCAAAAAATTGGGCTGTGTGGGCCATTCAATTAGGACAGCACTGTGGAAAAATTGACCCATGTAAAATTATGAGACAGGATTATAGAAAAATCCTGGAAGTCCCGGAAAATTGAAACATTGTCTAAAGAACTTTGAGCTTGAGTCCCAAAAAATTGGACCAGTCTCTGAAAATTGGAACTGCACTGCAGGAAATGGGGCCAGGATTCTAGTAAATGGAATACTATTGCGAAAAAGTTGAGCCCGTACCTAAAAAAATTGAGCAAAAATGGGTCAGTTTCTCTGATCATTGGGCCTGAGTTTCGAACAATTTTCCTTATGGTTAGACTCTCTGGTGGTAGGAGTATGTATCAGTCTCGAACAATTGTCGCAGGCAATTGGAACTTGCTTTTGTCAATACGGAATGTGTGCCATTAAATTAGGACAACATTATTGAAAAATTGGGCCCATATAAAATCATGTGACATTATGAAAAAATTAAGACTGTCTCAAAAATTCACGATGGGGTTCCAAAAATTTGGGACTACATTCCAAGAAATTGGGACACCGTCCCAATTTTTAAAAAAACCTCCACTAACTCGTGAGAGAAATATCCTACTTAGTTTTCTAAGTGCACAAAAATATGTGGGCCAAAAAATGTATTCGAAAATCTATGAATTTTTGGTCCACGATTCTTTTTCCAAGTAACTCTTTTCGGTCCCAATTTGAAGATAAAAAATGGATACCTTGGCGTTTCTTGTAGGAGGGGAGCCCCACCACGGGGCCGCAGCCCCCAGCGCTCCCCGCGACGGAGGAGCTGATGGTTGTGACGCCGGATGACCGAGCACCCCGAGCGCCACCACTGCGTCGTTCGTATTCACGACGCCGGCAACCGCCGCCGCCGCCGCCTCCACCACCACCACCACCACCGCCCCCTGCAGACAACAGCACGAAAGGCCCAGGGGTACGCTTTCGTCTGTTATTTTTTCCGTTTCCTGTGTCTTATCTTATTTATCCTCAAAATTTTTTCCCTCTCCTGGCTTTCTTTATTTGCAACAGTTTGTTTTCTTACTTCCGTTGCGTTTCGTGCACTTCCTGAAATTATTTCATGCACTGAATATTCATTTTTATTATTTTCATTGAGATAAGACGATTATGTTAACGAAAGTATGAAGATTGGATCTAGGAAATTGGGTCAGAGATCCATAAAATTCGGCCAGCCTTTCAAGAAATTGGGTCAGTCTTCATGGGAATTGGGGAAAAGTCAAAAATCGGGCCCAAGTCCCCGAAATTGGCTTGGAGTTCAAGAAATTGGGTCTGCCTTCCTAGGAATTGGGCCCGAATTTCAAAAAGTTAGACCAGGCACTTAGAAAAATGGGCCAGCCTTACAATTAATGGAGCCAGAATCTCAGAAATTGGGTCAGCCGTTCGAAAGGGAAAGGAATTGGGGCAGGATTTCACGAAATTGGGCCAGCTTCCTAAAGAATTGGGCCTGGTTTTAAAGTAATGGTCGAGGAGCTTGAGAAATTGGGCCAGTGTCCTTAAAAAATGGACCTATCTCGGAAAATTCAAACACGGCCCCAAAAAATTGGGGCAGCGTCCACGAAAATTGGGTCCGGCTCTAGAGAAATTGCGCTGGAGTCCCACAGATTGGGCCCGAATTTCAGAGATTGGGTCAGCCTTCCAAGGAATTGGGTCAGATTATCATAAAATTGGGACAGCATTTCAAAGAATTTGGCCAGGTTTTCAAGGAAATGGTCGAGAATTTAAAAAAAAAGGGCCCGTGTCCACAAGATTTGAGCCAGGCTCTCAAGAAAATGGGCCAGTGTCCGTAAAAAAACGAATGGTTTTCCAAATTGCGAAATATTCATTTCTTCCATTGATTAAGGGAAAGCCATTACGTCAGGAAAAATAAATAATAAAAACAACTGATTGAAAAAAACAAAATTGATCGTGAGTCTATTTCATTAGCCCCTACATCCCGCTGAAACTGGCCGTTTTCCTCTTTCCATTAACTTTTTTATTTCCATTATTTTTCCGCTGCATCATCACCCGACAAGTGGATTTAACCGTTCATTGGATTTCGTCGGACGCGATTCACCATTTCTCTGTGAATTTTCCAGGCTTTCCATATAGGCTGTACATGGCACACCAATTCCAGATCAGTCCCGATCCTTCTACTCTCCACGTGTATTCTGCGTTACCCCTCTTGCCCAACCCCTCGTGATAAATCCATTGAATCGGGAGTTTGCCTTCACGAAGAAATTTATTCTGGCTACGATTTCCCATCTCTCCCGCATCCTCTCTCTCTCTCTCTCTGTTTTCTTCTGGTTTGGACTGCTCGTACCAGATGTGACAATCGACTATTCATGGTTTCATATTCAACCAACTAAATTTTTTCATAAAAAAAAGAGGTAGGGAGAAATAATCTACACAAGTTTTTATGTTATACTTTTCTTGTTTTCACGGTTTTTTTGGGATGCAGATCAATTTTATGCAGTTGTGAGGAGAATAATATTGAATGAGGATGATAGGAGGGGAGAGTGACCCATATTTGTCTTTCCGGTGGATTTTTTTCGTTTTTTTAGAAAAGAAAAATCACAACTTCTCTACATTCAGAATAATTTTTCACACTTGAGGACTTGAGTTCAAGGTTATATGGAGATGTAGGAAAATTGAATAATTCATTAGAATAGAGACCCCTTTTGCCCCGTTATTTTTCAGAATATGAGAACGAGTGAGGAATTAAATTTTTAACAATTTTCAAAATTATAGAAGAATTTAAAAATTATAAAGATTTTTTTCTTCAAATGAATTGCGAATTTTTTTATTGTGTCTTTTTTTTCTGAGAGGAGAATAATATTGAGAGAGGATGATAGAAGGGCAGGGGGACTCATATTTGTCCTTCTGGTAAATTGTTGTTTTTTGGAAGAAAAATCCCCTCTTTTTTTATATTCAGAATAAATTTTCTCACGTCATGAGTAGGAAAAACTGGAAAAATTAATGGATGAGTGAAAAAGGCCCGTTTTGCCCCATTACAATATTGGAAAACGAGAAATTTATTTACTTTAATATGAAAAAAAAAACTCCTTTTGCAAAAGTACTTGAAAAATTTATTTGATTTTTTTTTTATTTGTATTTCGAATAGGGGAAAATATTATACCATCACTTGTAGGATCTCTCAGCACGATCTGGAAAATCTGAGGAATGATATTGGCTTAAAGGCAATAAATTTAGCTAACAAAAACACGCGTGGCAAAAAATCCACATGGGATTTCACGCGTTATTTTTCTTATTGTCGACTTTTTTTGGGGATACAAATCAATTTTATGCAGTTGCGAGGGGAATGATATTGGAAGAGGAATATAAAAAGGGAGGGTGACCCATTTATCATTCCGGTAGATGTTTTTTTTTTTCAGCAGAACAATTTCAACTTTTTTTTAGATTTAGAATAATTTTTCTCAGTTCATGACTATTGAAGAAAATAAAATAAAACACGACTGTGACTGATATTGACATAAAGGTGTAAATTTTGATTATCAGAACACATGAGAAAAAAAATTTTTCCAGAGATTTCTTTTTTAGAAGAAAAAACTCAATTTTTTCTTAAATTCAGAACAATTTTTCTCACTTCATGAGCAGGAAAAATTGGAGAAATTCATGGATGACCCTAAAAAAGACCCGTTTTGCCCCATCACAATATAGGAAAAACAAGGTATTATTATTTTTTATTATGAAGCCAAATTTTTATTTTTCAAAAAAGTTTTTTTCGGTTTTCTTTTCATTCGTATTTTGAATAGGGAAAGATGTTATAACATGACTCCTTTAAGATCCCCCAGTGGGGCGTGAAAAACCTGAGGAATGATAATAGCTTCGGGGAATCAAGACGTGAGAGTATGACAAAGCCCGTCTTCACCCATGTCTGTGCGTATCGATTGACTAGATAATGAGCGTTGAAATGAAGTGTCCACAGTGCGGGGTGGAGAACTCACCCGGGTCTCCCTGATGGCGCGATCCCGCCTCAGGGGTGAGGCATTTGAATTCACTGGTAGCTCAGCCTGTTTCACTTTTCTCCTTAATTTTTTCTTCAATTTTTTTTCCTCGAGAACTTTCGAATCCTCTCGAGAGATTAAAAATCGACGATCGATCGGTCGGTTGTTATGCTAGTGTTAGGCGTCTGAAACAAGCGAAACACAAACATAGAGCGATTAGTTGAGGTGTTGCAGGGAGTCTCGATTAATTTTGAGGATTAATTTTAGTTTGAGCCAAAAAAATTCAGGTGCAAAAGTTGTTAATTGTCCAAAAATTTATTAAAAAAAATTGAAGTGGAAGTGATTAATATTTGTAAATATTTTGGGAACGAATTCTTACTTCAATTTTTTTTCGGAACCCATGTGACCTCCAGGACCCTTATTAACCCTTGTGACCCTTAATCTGACCGTCGTGAATCTTATTTTGATCCTCGCATTTTTGCCCACGACCCTTCATTTCTGACCCTTAATTTTGGAGTCTAAATTTCGAGTACTAAATTTTCATCACGAGAAATCAATTTGGATTTTTATAATATAGAGATCATACTGAAAATTTTCAAGGATTCACTGATGACAGAGAGCCCAATTCTCATATTTGTTTCAAATCCCTCAAGGTAATGCTCGTCGGAGCGTGGAGAGTCATGCATGTCTTGCGAACACCTCCATTTCGAATGGAAATGGAATAGCCAAGTCACCGCCGCATCCACGTGAATATCTCCTGATTATGTACCAACCCGCTGAAGGATGACACACGACGCAACTCGGAGAATTCAGTAACAGCTTTACGAAACAACCTTCCGTCTCGGAGGACAGTGATTCCGGTATTTCAGTTGTAGTTGGTGGGTTCGATATAATTGAAGATTCAAGTGGGTAGCTGGATATTACGAGTTCAATCTAGCGGAGAAATTGTTATGTGGAGAGAGTATTGTGATTGCACAGGAGTTTTAGTGGGGGGTTTGAAGTTGATCGTGAGGAATGGAAGAGAAAATTTATTTATTGATTACTTTAAATAAATTTATTCATGTATTGATTTATTTAATGTATTTATTTAAGGTAATGATTTTACCTGTTCTAAAATTCAGGTTCTGCGTATGTGAGTACAGTGACGCCTCCGCCAGGTGGCGCCATAGCCAACCCAATAAATACCCCCTATTCATCAATCTCCTAAAATTCCAATAATATTCATAATTTATTAAATATATCACATAAACACTAGTCCAGCTAGTCTCTTCAACACCACTACTCCTCCTCAAATTTTAATGAGGTAAACGAATAACGGAAAATGTCTCCATTCCATTACTATCCAATAAAATCTCAATATCCATCACTCAGCGCCTATTTTTTATGCTCTAATAAAACTTTAATAAACATTTTATTTATTCTGAGCGTATTGGTATTATTGATCAGATAAAAAGTTTGAAATTCGTCTCATTTTTATCCAGAGTATTTTTTGCCATCTATTTTCATTTCGAGATACAATTTTTTCTGGAATTCGGAACCTTTGGGAACTTGAATTGCGAAAATAATCACTTATCAAATAATGATTTTTCCTGTTCTAAAATTCAGGTTCTGGCTATGCGAGTACAGTGACGCCAACGCTAGGTGGCGCCAGCCTAATAAACTCACCCTCAGGGATAGGTAACCCCCGGATACGTAATCCGTCTTCTAAAATCGCAATAATATTCATAATTCATTATTCATTACTTGAAAACTCGCCCAGCTAGTCCAGATACTTCACCTTAAATTTTAATGAGGTGAAGCAATAACGGAAAATGTCCCCCATTCCATTAATACCCCATAAAAAACCCAATATCCACTGCCCAGAGTTTATCTTTTATTCCCGAATGAAGCTTC